CATCTTCCTGGGGCTCTTCCTCCTTTTCTCTGACCCTCCACCTTACCAAACATGATTTCCTTCTCCAGCAACTGGTCCCTCCTGACAGTATGTCCCAAGTATGAGAGACAAAGTTTGGCCATCCTCGCCTCCAAGAAGTACTCTGACTGTACTTCTTCCAATACAGATCTGTTGGTTCTTTTGGCAGCCCATGGCACTTTCAATATTCTCCTCCAACACCATCACTCAAATGCATCAATTCTTCTATGGTCTTCTTTATTCATTGTCCAGCTTTCACATGCATATGAGGTAATTAGAAATACCATGGCGTGGGTCAGGTGCACCCTAGTCCTCAAGCTGACATCTTCGCTCTTCAACATTTTAAAAAGTTCTTGTGCAGCAGATTTGCCTAATGCAATATATCCTTTGATTTCTTGGTTGCTGCTTCTGTGAGTGTTGATAGTTGATCCAAGAAGAATGAAGCCATTGACAACTTCAATTTTTTCTTTGTTGATAAGAATGTTGTTTATTGGTGTAGTGGTGAGGATTTTTGTTTTCTTTGCATTAAGATGCAATCAATATCAAAGGCTGTGCTCTTTGATCTTCATCAGTAAGTATTTTAAGTCCTCATCACTTTCAGCAAGCAAGGTTGTATCATCTGCATATTGTAGGTTGTTAATGAGTCTTCCTCCAATCCTGATGCCATTTTTCTTCATATAACCCAGCTTCTCATACTGTTTGCTCAGAATACAGGTTGAATAAGTATAGTGAAAGAATACAACCCTGTCTCACACCTTTCTTAATTTTAAACCATTCAGTGTTTCCATGTTCTGTTTGAACAACTGCCTCTTGGTCCGTGTACAGATTCCTCATGAGCACAATTAACTTTTCCAGAATACTCATACTTCACAATGTTGTCCATAGCTTGTCATGATCCACACAATCGAAAACCTTTGCATAGTCAATAAAGCACAGGGAAACATCTTTCTGATATTCTCTGCTTTCAGCCAAGATTGTCGGACATCAGCAATGATATCCCTCATTCCACGGCCTCTTCTGAATCTGGCTTGAACCTCTGGAAGTTCTCTCAGTGTATGCTTGCAGCTGTTTCTATATTACCTTTAGTTAAACTTTACTAACATGGGATATCAAAGATACTGTACGATGATTTCTGCATTCCATTGGGACACCTCTCTTTGGAATGGGGACAAATACGGATCTCTTCCTATCAGTTGGCCAGATAGTTATCTTCCAAATTTCTTGGCAGAGATAAGTGAGTGCCTTCTGTGCTGCCTCACTTTCTTGAAAGCCACCAACTTTAGAAGTCCCTAAAGCCCAGGAGTCTGAGTCCCACAGCTGAATGGGACATTAACTCTTTGACAACCCATGGTACATATGAGTACCACTTACATCTTCCACTTCTGGGGTTTCTTGGGAAGTTTTCCCCCACATATAGTACATGGGACTTGTATAGCTGTGCAAAACCAGAGGAAGTTCACTGGTAACATATCGCTGTGTTGGGAGATTATTGTTTGAGGTGGTACAACCTGGAGGGTAATTGTGTAAAACTCTGCTCTCTGGGCTTTTGTACAGCAAGGTAAGCCTTATAAGTATATTGCCTGTTTCTTGTGAGCCCCTGAGAAGGAGCGGTGAATTTCTTTTCCATGCCTCATCCCACCTCTCCTACCACCAGAGTCAGTCAGGGTATACCCCCTACATAACACTTTTTGTTAGTCATAGCTAATAAAAAGTTAAAAATACTCAGTTGTTCGTATGCATTCTGTTACCAAAAAGCCATACTACAAAGTCTTTACAAACCAAAAATGATTTGCTAAGAAAAGGGTTACTTCCCCTGGGACTCAGAACCTTAAAGACTAACCCACTTCTGGAAGGCAGTTCTAAGAGGAAGTGACAGCTCAGGATTGGCTTCAGCCAGTATCTCCTGTGGGAGACACTGAAGGACAAGTTAGCATCCCTGCCACTTAGGCTGGGGGCTACACAAACTGAGCCTCGTAGCTAATCTCACCTTAGCTGTTAAAGTAGGCTCATATATATGGGTGAGAATGGTCATGCAACCCAAAAGAACGTAATCAAGGTTACTGAATCATACATGTAGGAACTGTTAACTTGGAGTATGTTCTGCTGTGTGTATTCTCAGCAACCAACATTAAATTATTTTTTTTAAGTTATGCTAATTATATTTGAGAGGATCATATTTTGAATATATTGGGTTAAATAAAATAATAAAATTTCCAAGAGCCAAGTAAAGTAAGGATTACAAAGGCGCCCTTACTACCTTTGCTGGCTTTCCCGTATCCCTTTTTTTCCTGGTAAAAGATTGCTCCAGGAACATGGACATCTCACTGAAGGAGGGAAAAGGGACGAGAAGAGGCATGCCATTCCTGTGGTGCCAGTCATCCCCTGTATTAGCTGACAGTGGGTTAGACCCTGGATGGGTGGACGGATGGACAGGCAGGAGATTGTTTGAGGCAGGAAGGCCTCTCCTCTGTTCCCTGGATCTACCTTTTCTCCAGCGTCCTTACTTGAGAAGAAACTAGATAGTGATTTCTTCTGATCTGGGCCATTGCATTTGTAGTATTCAATGATGTGTGCATGTTAATAGCCCTCCTAAATGGGGGTCCAGGAGGCCTGATGTGGTGCTGTGGGCGAAGCTCCGGACTGCTATTAACAAGATCAGTGGTTCATACCCACTAAGCACTCCTCAGATACCCTCTACAGGGTTACTCTGAGTCAGAATCAACTCAATGACACTTACCAACAGGGGAGACCGTTGGTGAATTCACCATCCCATCCATACATGCCGTTACCCAAATGTGCTTAGCAGTGTTCTGCGTCGTGTCTTCTTCCTCTTGCTGTTTCAATGCCTGGAACACTCTACCCATCAGCCCTTAGGTTGCCCACACTCCCGTTCGTCTTTCAAGGTCTGTCTGAATGTTGGGGCAGCTCGGAGAAACCAGAGGAGACCATACCAAGGAGAAGCTGAAACTGGGCAGAAACACTGCAGCGTTTGTTGATGACAAGTAGCCCTCATGCCACCCTGTTCTTCTGGTGCTGAAAACTAAGGCAGGAAGGCCTTTTTCTTGCCCATGACTGTGCCATTCTGGCTTCACCGTTCATTATTCCCTTTTCCTTACATGTGTAACAGAATTGCTCAAGTAGTGCACTTGATTTAGGGGAACAAGTAACTCTTCATTGATGGAGGTGGTTTTGTATGCTGTATGATAATCAGCAGTGTCCAGGAGCCCTGGTAGTGCAGTGGTAAAGCACTCAGCTGCTAACCAGTAGGTTGGCAGTTCAAACCTACCTAGCCACTCCATGAGAGAAGGATCTGTTCCCATAAAGATTGTTGTTAAGTGTCGTCGAGTCAGTTCCGACTCATAATGACCCTGTATAGAGTTTCCAAGGAGCAGCTGTGGGTTTGAACTACTGACCTTGTGGTTCACAGCCTATTGCTGATCCTATCCTGCAGCACCGCACCAGAGTCCAAACTGTATGTTGTTGTTGGTAAGTGCTGGCAAGTCAGTTCTGACTCATAGTACCCTATATAGTGTTTCCAAGGAGCAGCTGGTGGATTTGAAAAGCCGACCTTGTGGTTCACAGCCTATTGCTGATCCTACAGCACCACACCAGGAGTACCCATAAAAGATCTGTTGTTGTTGTTGTTGTTGTTAAGTGCCGTCGAGTCCGTTCTGACCCATAGTGACTTAGGAAACCCTGTGGGGCGCTTCTCTGCCACATGAGGTCACTGAGTCAGAATCAGCTCACTTATAACCAACAACAGCATGGTCCCTACCCACTGTATGTTATCAGCACTCCTCTCCTGGCACACATGTCAGGGTGGAAGGACGTGCTGCCCTGCAGATGCAAGATATCTTACCATCTTTGAAAGCTCATACCTGTCCATACCCTGAGTCCTGGTGTGGGCTGTAGGATAAGCACTGGACCGCTAACCATAAGGTTGGTGGTTCAAACCCACCAGTCACTCCTCAGAAACCCTATACAGGGTCTTTGTGGGTCAGAACCAAGTCTATGGCACTTAAAAACAACATCCATACCTGTATGCACAGTGTTCTTCCTTTGTGCTCCCATGCAGTTAGGAAAGCAGCCATTAGGGAAGCAGACAGCCACGATTCCTTACTTGGTGCCTCACGAGGCTCATAGTCCACGTATTGTCTGTGGTTGTTGGTAGTTCCCATTTAGATATTCATTCCCTGGAGGACAAGACCAGTGTTGCTGCTCATTTATTTCTAAGTACCCTAACTCTGTACACTGTATTTCTGTATTTGGCATCGAGTTGCTCTGTAGGAGCACTTGATGAATACAGAAAATACATCACTCCTCCTTCTCTGCAGCTCCTCATCTTGTGTCCTCAGTTCAGGCTCTTCATTACAAATCTGGGCCACTTGTCCCCTTCAAGTCCCGCCTTCCACAAAGATGCCAGAATTAGATGTCCAGAAGCAAATCTTCTCCCCTGCTTATTGCCTCTAGCATTTTATAAAGACCTGGGTCTGACCTCTCCCTTCCCTACACTTCTCTCCAGCAGCAGGGATTCACTGGACCTCTCCACAAGCACCAAGCTATGTACCACACCCCCACACCAACATCTTGCTGCCCCTCTGTCAGCAGACAGCCCTCTCCCACTGGGTAACGAATTCATCTTTTAGAATTCAGGAGCCTCTTCTGAACCAGCGAGCAGACTCGGCTTGGTATTCTGTGTCTCATGGTGCCAGCACTTGCTGCTTCTGTGCTAATTGTCTGTTTAATTGCTCTGTCCGAGCTATTCCGCAGGGAGTTTGTTGACAGCAGGAATTGGATCTTGCTCATCTTTGTAGCCCAAGCATCTAGCACAGTTGGCCAATAGTGGGCACTTGGATATTGTTTGAGAGAATGACTGAGTGTATGAATGAAAAGTTTAGTAGGAGGGGACTTTATTTACAGTAGAAGTTTCAAATTGAAGTTCTTTAACGATTAATCATTCATTGTGTTTTTGCTTTCCACAGATATTGGCATCAACTTGACAGACCCTATGTTTAGAGGAATTTATAGGGGAGTTCAAAAACATCCAGGTAAATTTTTTTATTGGGGTAAATCATTTCTCTATAAATACAAGTTTTCTCTCCCAAAAAGGAGATTTTGTTTGTTTGTTTAAGTATGAATTCATTCCTACCATTGAAATATTAAAGAACTCTTGGATCCTAGATAAAAATAAGCTACGTTCATAGTGGAGCACCTGTAAGCTGTTAGAGCACGGTGGGGAGCTCTTACAGAGCACCTGACGTAGCACCTGTTAAATAAGCCCTGTCTTACCTGTTGTTGTTAAGTGCCGTCATCTTGGATCCAACTCATCTTGACCCTGTATAGGGTTTCTGAGGAGTGGCTGGTGGGTTTGAACTGCCAACTTGGTTAGCAGTCCAGTGCTTATCCTACAGCACCACCTGTGTTGTTGTTGTTAAGTGCTATCGAATTGATTCCAACTCATAGTGACCCTGTATAGGATTACTGAGACGTGGCTGTGAATTTGAACTGCTGACCTTGCAGTTCAAACCAACCATGTAGTCCAGTGCTTATCCTACAACGCCACACCAGGACTCCTGTAGAAATGTGTAATTTTATATAACCATGTGAAGAAGAAAGGTCTGGCAATCTCCTTCTAGAAATCAGCCGATGAAAACCCCATGGCTCACAAAGTTCACCATTTCTTCCTGCTGTATGTAGGATCACAGTGAGTCAGGGGCCAGCTCAGTGACAGCTAACACAGCATGACCATATGCACAAAAGACAAACAGTTGTTGGTGTTTAATTAAATAATTAATCACGGGCACTGGAGTCCTGGTGTTGCGCTGTAGGATCACACTGGACTACAAAATCGGCGGTTCAAACTTACCACCCACTCCTCGGAAACCCTGTACAGGATCGTTATGAGTCGGAACCAGCTCGACAGCACTTCAAACAACAACAATGCTAAAATCTTTAAAAGTTGAATGTTGGTATTGCTAATTTTTCATAAACACCTTTTCAGCTGGTTGATGCAGGAACAATAGGACTAAGGAGGATTAAGGTACACTACAGTGTGCCTTCCTTGTTCCTTCCCCACTTTCTCTCCAGTTCCTCAGAGAGAGAAAGCTTAAGGGGGCTTCTTTTCATCCTATCAAGTTTATTTATATAAAAGACCTGATGTGCCACTTGTGAGATGAAAAAGCAGGAAGTGATGGTGGCAGGAAGCTAGTCTTTGAACCTGCTGTGACTATTGTCTCAGAAAACTGACCCTCCCTGCCACTGTGTTGATGCAAACAGGAAGATGTCGTGGTTCTGGATGGTGGTGAAATTCCCATTTAACAAAGCTGAGTCAGGAGCCAAGCTTACTGTAGTCCTTAGTACTGAGTGAGTGCTCCCCTAAGGGAACGTGAGGTGTCCTTAAAAGGAGAAAAGTGAATGGTAACTTCCTATGTCTTACTTCAAAACTTACCTATTCTATTTCATGTAGTGTTGCTGATAGTTTTGTACAGTCATATGGTATGTTGACTGTTGCATAAATGATGTTCTGCTTTACTTGCCTATGTAGCAATGAACAGATTTCCTGGTTTGTGACTATGTGTATATGTATGCATGTTTGTGGCTGTGTGCTTAGGAAATAAATTTTATTGTGCTCTATCAGTATGGCTGCAATTTATCATTTCTAGCAAAACTGGTAGTCCTACTTAGTGTTAGTTAAAGTTAATATCTTTTTTCTAGAAGACATGTTAAAACTACTTTAGGAGTAATAGTAATTTAATTCCAGTCACATTGACTGTGATATTTAAATATGAAACTAATAAATGGGTTTTTAAGGATGTAACTTTAATTTTGCTGTCCATTTATTCCAGGTCACTTGGAGTTTAGTAACTGTTGATCTCCCCAGAACCATTTTTGGTTGTAGGCAGCCCTGGGGTTACGGTCAAGCCCCACTCCTATGTGAAGATTGTAGGCAGAGCAGAACCAGCCCTGCCCTGCTCAAAGGTGGCAGCCGCCTGTTCTCCACAGGCCCTGCTCCGCTCCCACGTCTCCCAGTCCAGTGCTGTGACCCATCATTTGTCCCATTCTGGTTACCATGACAAAGTGCCCAGATTGTAAAACTTCATGTCTGTTCCCTGTTTCGCTTTACCGGCTGTGACAGCCCCAGTTCAAATGATTCAAAGCCCAGCTTAACGGGCAAGTAAGAGTCATGCGTAAGGCAGACGTTCATAACCCAGGGACTGCCTCGCCCTTAACAGTGACTTTGGGCATAAAGCAAAGATCAACAGTCGGAAAATAAAAATTCTATTTACTTAATTGGCACAGTAGTTATAGAAATAGAGCATTGACTGAGATGTACAAAGAAATGTTTTTCCTGGCTCTAGAAGATCATTGCAGGGCCCTGGTGTGACACTCTAGAGTAAGCACTGGCCTGCTAACCTCAGGTCTGCAATTCAAGCCCACCAACCACTCCTCAGAAATCCTATAATGGGTCACTGTGAATTGGAACCATCTCGACGGCACTTAAAGATAATGTTGCAGAATTATTCAGAAAATGCTTAGTAAAAATAAACATTTTAAAACAACAAAAGCATAACATGAACACATTTCAATTTTAAGACTTGAATTTGTAGTGAGCTAATTCATGTTGCGCTTGAACCTCCTGATCGAAGTATTCATCAGTTGTGTCATTTGACTTTGGCATACTCAGTGTGACTATTTCTAGGTGTTTTTACTTGAAGGAGAGATCAGTAAGCATTAAGGTAAGTGAATACCTACTGAACAGATTATCTGACTGTGAGCATCTTCTTTTACAGATGACTTACAGGCTGTAATAGAGAGAGCTACTCAGATTGGTGTTAAAAAGGTAACATCTGATTTTTATTACTTTTGAGTTTTTGTTATGCTGAATTTTAGCTAAAAGTCTGCAGAATAGAAGAGAAAGGTAATGCTACCGTTGCCTGCTTTGTGTGTATATTGTCTACATGTAATATTAGCAAGTTACTGGAAATAAAATTTCAAAGTAATCATTTCACAGGAATGTGCTACACAAACCTCATGAATAGTTCTTCCTTGTGATTAGAAATGTAAATGGCAAAAAATCTTGGAAATTTTTCTTGTTAAAAACTGTATGGGTGACAAAGTATCCCAAGTGGCATCTGTTAATATATTTTATAACATAATCTAGTATTGGTTAGAATGGAACCGTTATTAAGAAGACAGTTATCGATCCCTAAGTCTAGCTTGTTATATGTAGTACGGGTATACCATTCTAAATGACTAAAGGGGACAATGTGACAGTTTGTCTAGCTTGTTATATGTAGTACGGGTATACCATTCTAAATGACTAAAGGGACAATGTGACAGTTTGTCTAGCTTGTTATATGTAGTACGGGTATACCATTCTAAATGACTAAAGGGACAATGTGACAGTTTGTCTAGCTTGTTATATGTAGTACGGGTATACCATTCTAAATGACTAAAGGGACAATGTGACAGTTTATGATTAGATTATTAGGAAAATTCCTACTAGTTTTGCAGAGTTTCAGCAAATCAGTATTAGTTCAATGTCAGATTCTTTAAATACCTATTCCTTTAAATTCGTGAGCCACACATGTGCACGAGATATAAGGCTACATTCCAAAGCACAGCCTCAGAATCTTGGTTGCTGCCACTTCTGAATTAAATCACCCCAGTGTTTGAAAGTGACGTTGGCAACTGAGTGAATTCCGTAGTCTCCAACTCAGATATGATGTTGGTTATTATTCACAAGTAGCCATAAAGGATAAATTACCCTCATTTCTCATTATGGCATCATCCCCTGCTTGGTAAATCACTGGGGATGGTTGCACAGCCCCTCGCTGCCCATGGGGAATTGATTCCAGGAACCCCCAAGGGATACCAAAATCCTCATGGTATATAACCTGTGTGTTACGTCACCTCTAGATTACTTGTAATGCAAGTGCAACATAGATAACACTTTATACTTCTTCTTAACCTCCGTGGGATTGAGATTACTCTGACCACTTGGTAAAACTTTTCAGGGAACCATTCCTCCCCCACATCCTGAAGATTTCCTATCTGCAGTTCATTGTATTTCGGGATGCAGAGGGTCAGCTTCAGGTTTTAACATACAGAACTGCAGTGAGAGTGAAGAAAAAATTAACTGCGAAGCACTTGGTATTATATCTGCCATAAAGCAGACAACCTTCATGGATATAGATGGTGAGAGCTGCCACCAGCATCATTCTGAACTGGGAGAGGGAAATCCACCCACCAGCCTTGCTCATATTTTTTTCATCTACTTGGAAAAGAGATTAATAAAATAAAAAGTAGACTTGATTAGAAACTGTTTTGCCTAATTGTAAGTGCTAGATGTGAACAGCTGGTATAGTAGTAAACAAAGAAGTTTTCCTAGTATGTGTGTTAATATCTTACATCCTACATATACAGATGACTGAGAATTTAATTCTGGCTGTCAGTTCACTAAAGAGAACTGATATTAAGAGGCTTAAATTCTATATGAAGACACCTGCTTATCATTTGCACTTTTCCTTCCATATGTGTGGTGTGCACCTAGAATGTATTCTGATTCATCCTAGCTCAGTGAGACTGTTGGAGCGTGCTTTGAAAACTACCCACTGACGTGTGAAAGCCTCTCCTTTCTAAGAACATGTATCTTCAGCAACATTGTCTCTATGATTACCATCAGCTCTTTAAGACTCTTTCCTCAATTTCTTTAATGTCTGGCTTAAGAGAAAAGACTGCTGAGTTTGTCTTATCCATTTCTATAGTAACCTATTGCCGTCAGTGTTGTGTAGCCTCTGAAAAACTTAATGGTGTGAGAATTAAAAAAACAGTCTCATAGTATTGTCTTAAGAATAATTTTTACATTGCATGTCCACTAAGCATCTTGGACCACGTTTTGAGAACTGTTGAATTAATCAACACCGTTGAAGCACTGGTTTAGATGAATAGAATTCTAAATTCTAGAGTGTGGTTATTCCGCCAGGATCCCTGCCCCCTAGGAGCTCATGGAAAACAGCTGTGGAAATACATTTAAAAACAGGGAGTGACGATTCTGTGTAATGGGGTAGGTAAGTGGGTAGGGGTGGAGTGGAGGTGATCTCTCAGCTGACTTTTAAAAGTAGGGCAAGTCTGTGGGCAGTCAGAGAGAAAATGGCATTCTGGGAAAAAGCAGCAGGAATACATGTTTGGGGACCTGTTGTTGATGCCCTGTTAACTTCAGACTTACTCTCTGTTTCTTCCAATTTCAGTTTATGCTTACAGGTGGGAGTCTGCAAGACAGTAAAGATGCACTGCATTTGGCACAAACAAATGGTATCCTCATATTACTTTTACCAAAAAACAATATGAATTAAGTTATTTTGAAGAAGTCTTTCTGAGAACTGCTTCAGGTATAATACAATGGATCATGATTGTGGAAATACCAGGAAAATGAATTTATTTCAGTGGGACGTGATAAAGATGAAAAAATGCAAAGTATCAGTTGGTATATTAGAACTTTCTCACAACCAAATGCCTCATGGGGCAATTGGTTCCTAGTTTGGAGGTTTAAGCGTGAGACACCTCTGTCTGTTGGAGTCCTGGTGTGGCTCTGTAGGATCAGCACTGGATACAAACCACAAGGTCAGTTGCACCTCAGAAACCCTGTACAGGGTCGCTATGAGTCAGCATCGACTTGACAACAGTTAACAACAACAACAAGCCAGTTAATTGGCTTAATAATGTATTCCATGCTGCTTCCTTTTCCAGACGACCTGAAGAACTGATGCCCAGCTACCAGTACTGAACATTGTGATCAAAGATTATGTAGAAGAATACTTTTCCAAAGGGAGAAAATACAGAACAGAATTTTCAATTCTAGTGGACTGTGACTTTCCAGAGCCATGGAGAGTGGATGAACCCTTAAAATTATTGCCTAGAGAACATCTTTAAATCTTAAACCAGAAACATCCCATGAAATCTTAAAACCAAACCATGGTTTAGTTTAGCTTTTAAAAAAAAAAAAAAGATCTGCCTTGAGCATCATGCTCTTTAAGAACTGTCTATATGGCATCAAAATGACCACAGCAACTTGAAAGGTGAGACAGGAACCTTAGGGGACAGGGAGTTTATGTTAATGAGGCAGGAATAGCTCAGAAAAGAAGGGTGAGAATGGCCGTGATCTTAGTGAGGCATATGCATGTTGTTGTTGGCTGCTGTGGAATTGAGTTTGAACTACTAACCTTGTGGATAAACCGACCTTGCAGTCCATTGCTTGTCCTTCAGCACCGCACCAGGCCTCCAAAACCATGCATATTGTTGTTAAGTGCGGTGGAGTCGTTTCCGACCCATAGCGACCCTGTACAGGGTTTCCGAGGCTGTAAATCTTTCTGGGAGCAGAAAGCCTCATCTTTCTCCCGTGGAACAGCTGGTAGTTTCGATATAGGAACTGTTTAATTGGCTTATGTTTTGCTGTGTACTTAATGACAAAAACCAAAAATAAATAGATTTTGAAGAAAAACTCTTTTTCTTTTTATGAACTTTCCCCAAAAAGTTTTCTCATAGTATTTAAAGATTATCTTTAAATTTCAGTTAATGGGAATTAAAGTTTCAGCTAATGGGAATTATGTTCACTAGGTACATAATTTGACCTCAGTTATTCCTGATGTAAAATGCCTTTGTTTGTTGTGATGTGCTAAAGTTTGATTTGTTTGCTTTCTATGACTTTTTTTTTCTTTTTAAAGAAAGCTTCAGCTATGAAACACGATTTACTGAATATTTATTATGTGGGCTAGACTCCATGCAAGGCCCCATAAATACAGATGAGAAAACAGAATACATAATCACTCAGGCTTACTTTATGATCAGACATTTTGTGTTATTTTAAATAGAAATTTTTTGCAGTTGCTTCTTAGAAATCTTATGTATATATGACCCCTTGTTCATCAGACTCGCTTTATTTAGCGTCTTTATTTTGCCATGCCCCATGTGCTAAACACCAAGGAATAAGATATTTCACATCATTTTTCAAAATACTGATGTGTCCCTTTATGTCTAAAAGTGCATTTAAAGCTTGTTTTGATGGAAATAGTTCTGCAATGCATGCTTCACTTCAGATCTATAGACTGACCCCTTTTTTTTCGTAGTGATTCAGGTCATAAAAAGATCACTTCTCAGAAGTAGTTGAGATGTAGAGAGATATTTCCTTCCAGATTTTGGGAGGCCAAACTTTTCAGTTCTCCATTATTGGCTCTGTTCCACTCCTCCCATTGTGTTTCCGTGCTTCAAATGTGTGTGGAGCTTGTAAGCACCTGTCTGAGAGCCCAAGTAGGTGGTAGGTGTCTATACAGAGAGCACAAAGGCACCGGATATCCTTTTTATTTACTTCTGACTTCACATTTGTATTCCAGACAATGAAAGCTGTCAAAGTCTGGTCTCCAAATAACTGAGCTTTTGTTTTGTCTTCAAAAAACTAACTCCCCTTCCACTTCTTTAAATCAGTCTATTACTATCCTTTCATTTTAACTGCTTCATATTGTTGTTGTTGTTAAGTGCTATTGAGTCGGTCCTGACTCATAGCGACCCTGTATAAGGTTTCCAAGGAGCAACTGGTAGGTTTGAACCACTGACCTTACAGTTAACAGCCATTGCTTATCCTACAGCACCACTGCTGGCTTATATTAATTGCATGCATCAAGACAGTTGCCTTAAAGTGAGTGGAAAGGATAAAATTAGGAGGCAGCATTTCAAGAAGCTGCTTTATTTGCCATTCTACAAGACTCAGTAATAATAGTAAGTTTTTATCAGTGCATTAAGACAATTTTCATCTCCATGCCCTAGTTTGCTAAGATATTTAAATCAAGTTTGAATAGTTTCATGGCTAATGTTAAAAAGTAACCACTTGGGACCATCAGGGGAGACAAGCACAAGCATAATGCGGGACCTTATCCAGAGAAGCAGCAACACCAGAGATGGAGGCAGATATGGGGTCATGGAGAGAGGAAGCAGCTGAGGACTCTAGATTCATAGGAAGAGAGGGACTGAGAGCTGGCAGTCAGAAGGCTGACTTGCAGAATGTGCCCTTTGGTGGTGTAAATTATTATATATGCCTGAGTAGTTTGTTTTTGTTTTGTTTTTTTTTATTTAAAAAAAAAAAAGTTAAAATGACTAGAGAGAAATACTGTTAACTGATGGTACATGGAGGGGATTTTAATCATTGTAATGAAACAAGGTATATGATTTGTTGAATGTTTAACTGATGATCTGCCTTGTAAACTTTCACTCAACTCACAATAAAAACTTAAAAAACACCTCTCCCCGCAAAAAAGTAAACGCTTGAACTTATTGAATTCTTGTGTACTAAGTATGAGTAAGAACAAATCTTTGGAAAGTAACCCTAGACATTATTCTGTGTTAGATATGTTTTTCAGTACAGTTGGTTGTCATCCTACGCGATGTGGTGAATTTGGAAAGGACAACCCTGAGCTTTACTTACAAGAGCTGCTCAGTCTTGCTGAAAGCAATCGTGGCAAAGTTGTAGCCATAGGGGAATGTGGACTTGGTAAGTACCAGCCTACCTCCTAGAGTGGCCTTGTTCCAGTTGATTGTTTTGTCCTATACAAGACCCAAGTAGTTACCGATTCTTTTTATCTTTTCAAGATTTTGACCGACTGCAGTTTTGTCCAAAGGAGACTCAGCTCAAGTAAGGAAACTTGTTGACTATAGAATTGATTGTAAATCTTAGGAGTGATTTTTTTCAATTGCAGTTCAGTTGAGAATATACTTGGATTGAGCATCACGACACATTTTGTGTTTCCTGTTGTCTTTGAGAAGTTAAGTAGAATTGATTCCATGCATGTTGTTGTTGTTATGTGCCATCAAGTTGGTTCCGACTCATAGCTACCCTGTATAGAGTTGCCAAGGAGTGATTGTTGGGTTTGAACTGCCGACCTTGTGGTTCGCAGTCCAGTGTTGATCCTACAGTAGTACCACCCCAGGACTCCTCCATGTATACTTGTACATAATACCTAAGTCATTGTTTGCTCCTGTCGAGGGACTCCATGTGACAGAGGGTAGCTGCTCTAAGGGTTTTCTTGACTGTGGTCTTTACGGGAGCAGATCACCAGTTCTTTCAAAGCTGCTGAGTTGGTTTGAACCACCAACTTTTCGATTAGCATCCAACTGCTTAACACTGTGCCGCCACAGATCCTTATAATTTACAAGGGATAGAAATATATATCTCCCTGAACCATATAATTTGATTGTAACAGTAAAAATAAGGAATGAGTTGTACATGATAGAAACTTTCTGTTGTTGCGGTTGCATTCATACATTAACCCATTCACTAGAATGGTTTAAATACATTTGTGTGGGTGCTATTTAAAAAATTAAGAGTGAAGTATTACGGATTAAATTATGTCGCCCATAATATGTGTTGTATATCGTAACCCTGGCTTCCAAGGAGCATTCTGGCTGTCCTTCTTCCAATACAAATTTGTTTGTTTCTCTGTCAGAACTATGAGGGGCTTCAAAAGTTCATGGGGGAAAAAAAATTATCTTTTCATTCCTTTTTTCCATGAACTTTTTGAAGCCTCCTGTGCTTATAGCAGGATCTTGTGTATCTCATACACACAAGATCCGCCACCCTAGAGGACAGGAGGGCTAACTACCCCAACGGGTCCCTAGGCTGTTCCCTTCATGGATGCCAACTCAGTTCACCCAGTAAGTGGTTCCTGAGTGCCTCCTCAGTGTGATACAACGAAGAATAAGACTTGTTTCTTCAGCTTTTACCATCAAAGCCAAAAAAGAATCAAACCCACGGCTATGACGCAGTTCTAATTTATGGCGGCCATATTGTATGCAGTGCTTCTGAGGTGATAAATCTTTATAAGGAGCAGACAGCCTCATCTTTCTCTCAGAGCAGCTAACTGGGTTTGAACAGCCAACCTTGTGGCTAGCAGCCCAACACTTAACCCATGACTCCACCCAAGGACAAAAGAAGGTAGGGTAAACATTTTTAAAGGATTGGCAGTTGATGTTCAGCTTTAATTAAAAAACAACAACAGATAAAACACTGAATGTCTCAAATGAAGATATCCCAGTAATATTTACAAGTGGGTTATTGTAAAGCAAATAAATCTGCGTGCCTTTTACCTCTCACTCAGTCCCTCTCCCCAGACACATGCAAACAGCATGCAGACCCTAGTCCAGGGACTCCTAGCCCACTGTACTTGTTTCAGCATTTATCACGTTGCATTGAAACTATGCTGTGTGCTACCCCTTCCCCTCCGATGACATCTGCTAGATAAAGGTACTTGATTGCTAGAGTGTTTCTCAGCCCACAGTCCTCTTGGCCAATGGCCAGCACGTAACTAAGTGTTCATTAAATGTTTAATGAAGTGCAAAAGGTCTTTTTGAGTTGTGTAGAGCAGTGTAGATTCAAAAGTCCATAATTAATTTGAACAAAACAGAAAATACTTGAATATATTAAAGGCTGCCTTTTTTTTTTTTCATGCAATTCACCTTTTTTCCCCCCTAAAAAATAACATAATTCCTTTTTGTGTGTACTACTTAACAAATGTCTTCAGTATGGGTTATACCTCACCATTAAACAGAAGTTCTCTTCTGGACCAATGAGTAATATCATGATAAATGGAGAAACAGTTGATGTTATCAAGGATTTTATTTTGTTTGGATCCACAGTCAAGAAATCAAACAACAGATTGCTACAAAAGAGCTCTTTAGATGGAGGCAGAGACGATGATGTGGAGATATGGAGCGGCTGGGGACTCTAGACCCAGAGAGGGAGAGGGTCTGTGCGCTGACAACCAGTGGGCAGACTTATGGGGTATATCCCTGTGGTTGGTTGATGATGTATGGAGGGGATTGTAATCATGGCAATGAAACGATATACGAAAGGATGAATGTAAACCAAATGTTCTCCCATGTAAACTATCACATAATTCACAATAAACCATTTTAAAATTTTAATTAAAAAAAAACCACGCCCTCCTTAAAGTATAAACAAGCAAAGATGTCACTGTGTGGACTAAGGTGCGCCTGACTCAGTGCTGGACAGGGAAAAAGGAGAGCAGAGAAGGACGAACATATTTGAGTTATTGTGCTGGAGAAGAATATTGACTATCCCATGACTGCCGTAAGAACAGACAAAGCTATGGTGGAAGAATTATAGCAGGAATGCTCCTTAGAAGTGAGACTAGTGACTTCATGCTTACTAGAGGTGGAGGGAAAAAGAGGGCAGCCCTCTGTGAGATGGCTTGGCACAGTGACTGCAGCAGTGAGCTCCAACACACCCGACTCTGCAAGGGTGGCACAGGGCTGGGCAGCGTCTGCTTCTGGTACTCTTGGGGTCCATCGCTATGAGTTGAAACTGATGTGACACCATCTAACAGCATCTGTTTTTACGAGAATCCTTATTCTGTGTTTCTGCTCAATATCAGTAATTTCCTGTATAACAGCACATAGGAAATTTGTTGCAAAACGAGGTTCACTCAAGTATAAAGTCCTTCCTTCTTTCACGTAGGTGATCTAAAGTCCACTGATAGACTGGGCCAGCTTCTGTGACCAGAGAATGTGGGGTAGATGTCCAATTTTGCTGAGGTCCATTAGAAAAGGTAGTCAAAAGTAATTACTTGGGAGAACACCCCCAGTCACTCACAACATAAGCCAAACAGCCTTTTACGCCAAAGGATTAATAGTAAAGTACTACCCTTTACCTAGAAAATGTAATGGAAGAACTAGCAGATATTTCTTAAAATAATTTTTAAAAGACTCAAGTTTTTTTCTTCCTGGAAAGTGAACGCTCTCTTCCCAGAAGTTTTATGTGTTGCAGAAACCTCTGCCAACACTGATGTGTTTTACATGCTTGAATGTACTACTGCTTTATGGTCATTTCAAAAGAATAAAGTTGCCTTAATCATTACACACAGTTATTTTTCCCATGCAAAAATAAAATTTTAACAAGGAAATGTTGTTTTTGGCATTATGCAGGTATTTTGAAAAACAGTTTGAGCTGTCAGAACAAACCAAATTACCAATGTTTCTTCATTGTCGTAATTCACATGTGGAGTTTTTGGGTGAGTTAAAATTACATTTTCACTGATTATTTAAATTTTTAACAGGAAGTCATGCAGTTTGCTAAGCATTCTTCCTGTTTGCAATTCACAGACATAATGAAAAGAAATAGAGATCGGTGTGTAGGCGGAGTGGTGAGTATAAAATGGGTGGTCTGTGTGCTAGACACACAAGCATCATGCCTGTGAAGGTTAGCTTCCGAAGTAACTACCATGTCAGCACTGAAGGGGCTATAACTAATTCATCTGAGGAACACGGACATTTTGACAGTTGTGTCTGTGGACCAATGTGATAGAAACATAAAATCACTGTTTTATTTGCAGTTCCTTTGTTTAAAGTACAAGAATGAGTACAAAATTTTGTTGTTCACAGAAACTGCTGTAAATATGAACACTGTGTGCCACCCATTGTTCTGCCTCTTGCATGAGCCATTTTCTAGTGTTCGGTGATCTAAGTGTTAAGCAAACTATAAAGTAATTTTTACACTAGTTTAAGATGATTTAACCATTGTGTGCATCTGCATTTCATCTCAGCTGTGTTCCTTCATGGTTGTCTCCGATCTAGAGGCTTTGCCGTTTTTGCTCTCAGCACTTCTCTCTCTGGCCCCTCAATCGTTAGTCTGGGCATTTCTCATATCCAGTGTCTGCCCGACACTTCATTCCTGGGTCCGTGGTTTGAAGTGCCATCAAGTCAGTTCCAACTCATAGCAACCCTGTATTGGATTTCCGAAGCTATAAATCTTTTCCCTGAGGAGCGGCTGGTGGGCTCAAATTGGCAACCTTGAGGTTTACAGTCCAGTGCTTATCCTACAGAGCCACTGTGTTCCCATACTACTAGTATCACATATATTTCCTGCATTGCTGTGATGTTAATATTACTATGCACATTTTTCTCTGTAGTTTATACCCAGACTCCTGGTGTGGCGCTATAGGTTAATACGCCAGACTGCAAAGCTGTTTGAACTGCAAGGTTGGCAGTTCAAGCTCACCAGCTGCTACTCAGAAACCCTATAGAGTATCACTCTGGGTCGGAACCAACTTGACAGCACTTCACAACAAAATCAATAGATCTTTAGGAAGTGTACTTTGGAATTGAGAGCGGCTTTCATGACAACCCTTGGGGTGACTGGTGGCCCTTACTCCACCATCCAGACTCTACCTTGGGCCCATTTGCTTTATTTCTAAGAAAGAATTCACTTAGATAATTCAGTAACCCAGTAAAACCTGCAAAAGCCAAACCTATCTAAGACAAAAACTGTCAGAGAAGGAAAATGCCAATGTTTTCCACTACAATGGTATTTTTAAAGTGGTAAGACTGGCACCCTGTCATAGGTGGAAAACTTGCAAGATCCTGAGAAACAAGGTAGTTCCATGAGTTCTGGCTCTCACAGGTTTCACTGTAGTCTTAAAAGTTAGCAAGAGCCATTGAAACAAGTCCAGCTTAAATATTTGACTTTTATTTAAAACAAAACAAAAACCATTCTAATAAAGCTAAGGATCCAAAAGCGTTGATAAGAAATCGTGTTTAAAATGAGTTTTTATGTTAATGGAAGCTTTGCTGCTTTCTAGCCAACTGGAATGAAGCCTTCATGGCCAGCCAGCCATGCTGAAAAGTATGTTATCCATAGGACAATCAGACTCAATTCAGGGTTAATGCCATGTCAGTCTTTAGGGGACTTTTAAAAGAAAGTGGTTGGTTTTTAGTGGTTGTTTGGCATTACCAAAACTTCTCCCAAGTGTGAAAAACTGTGCCTTGGCCCCTGTTGTCTTTCACGTGAGAAGCACCAAGTCGGGCTTCAGCTGCCTCGGCTGCCTCGACTGTTTAACAATTTCTGTTTGTGAGCAACATTCCGACACACGGCTTCTTGGGGTACAGCTCTTCTTGTCTCTAAAAGAGTTACTGCTCTTTCAGACAGCAAGTATCCTGTAACAGAAATGTTGAGCAGCATTTAAAAACACATGTCAAATGGTTTTCTAGCATCCCTAATTTTTCCTCATGCTTTTCCCTAAGAATATGATCCCGTGCCTCTGTCCCTACCCTGGTGCTCTCTGTCCACAATGATGTCACTGCAAAAGGAGAGTTCCCTTTTGCTTCCTGACAGTGGAGCTGACTGGTCATAATGATGAAATCTGATTTATAAACAGACATTGTTACAAGTCACCACATTGAAATCCTGTAGCCCTGCAGGCATTTGTATTTTTGCTTAGAAAGTCTAAATAAGAATGTCCCTTAGAATTGTAAAGGAGTATTCATTGTTACACTAATCCACCTATCTGCCCGTAGGTGCATTCATTTGATGGTTCCAAGGAAGCAGCAGCGGCTTTGATTGACTTGGATCTGTACATAGGCTTTAATGGTTGGTACGTTCTTAGACTGTTGGTTTGTTGTCTTTTTTTATCTTTCATTAAGCTGATTTCTTAAGTAATTTTACAGTGCATTGGTGATAAAGACTTTATAGATTTGTGTGTATGTTGCATTGATCTTTGCTTGGGAATGTCAGTAATTATTTATGTAAGACAATAAATAGCACATCACCATGGAACACTTATAGAGCACTTTGGTAGGCCAGTTGTTGGGCAGTGCCATCGAGTCGGTTTTGACTCACAGCGACTCTGTTTAGGGTTTTGAAGTAGTGGCTGGTGGGTTTGAACCGCTGACCTTGTGGTTCGCAGTCCAGTGCTGGTCCTGCAGTGCCACACCAGGAGTCATGTCTTCTAGTAATGGGATCTAATTTGTGGTGAGAATTCAGCAGCTAGCTTTCTCTGGCAGTCTGATTGTTTCTCTCAGGTTATTTGATACCTGTAAAGCAGGTGTATTCCCAGCATCACAGGTAAGTTTGCCCATGTCCTGTCTGACGGTAGGGAAAGATGAACCTGGATCACAGTCATCTTAGACATCACAGTAGACTTCAGAAATGGAGGCTCCGAGAAGTGTAGGGACAGGCGTATGAAAATCACCAGTGAAGCCTGTGCCGCCTGGCATCTCAGTCTGGGACATCACTGCTGTGACACCCAAGGAACCTCCGCGTTCAGCACAGCCAGGCCCCCGCCCCCTGGAGTCCAGATGCCAGACAGCTGTCACCTGCATCACCTCACGGGTGTCGCTGCAGCTCATTTAGTAAACTGCCAAACAGCGTAGGGTTTATTGCCCCTCTTCACGGTTTCAGTCCCTTCAAGTTACTGTTGTGAGTGCGTTCTATTTACTGGAATCCCCTTCATGAAATATAACACATGGAATTGTCAACTGTAGAGTTCAGAAATGTTTAACTATCCTAGATGCCTCATTCATATGTTTAATAAATAATTTCATTAAGCTTGTAAATACATATGTTAGGGACTACAGGTATATGGAATGAAAAGTCAGTAAAAGACTTTAGATTTCCACAGCCTTCTCCAGCCTGCCCTCCAACTTGCCTGAGGCAACTATTTTGCTGTTGACCTCCATATCCCAAAGTGATATACAGGGGAGTCCTGGTGTGGCGTTGTGGGATAATGTGATGGACTGCAAAGTCAGTTTGAACCACAGGGTTGGCAGTTCAAATCCACCGACCACTCCTTGGAAACCTTATACAGGGTCACTATGAGTCAGAACTGACTTGATGGCACTTACCACTACCACCACCAATATATTACATGAGGGGGACTTCAGAAAATTCCGTTGGCTTTGAAGTCCATTGTTTGTGAATTTTTTGAAGCCCCCTTATACATAAACTATTATCTCCTTTCCTTATCTATTCTTTTCACGGTGTCCGAACATTCTAGTTTCAGAGCTCCCTTACCTTCTGTCAGCATGCCTCTCAGCGTAGTTACTTCCATGTGTTCCGTTAGATTCCTATTCGGCGTTGTCATTATGATGTCTGTGGAACTATGATGACACATACTTACATCATTTCCTAGTGACACTTTATTTTCCTGGAGTTAAGCTGCATTATGTTTTCATTTTCTTGGCTTTCTTCAAATCCCAAAGCCCTCTCACACTTCCCACCAGGACCCCTATCTAGATAATCAGATAGTTCCATTAGTGACAGACCCTCTGTTTCTCTGCTGAACTTGGGATTAATGCCTTTGCTGAGGTGGGCTATTTTTAGATTCTAGGTATTTTTCATTTTCAAAAAACACATCTTGATAGCATCCCAAGAAAGTATTTGAGGGAAGTAGATTTTTGAGGCTTGGCATGTTTGAAAATGAATCTGTACTACTCACCTCTTAAATGTTGATTTGAATATTTAAAGAGACATCAAATGACAAAAACAAGAAGCTTTCAACTTGATAGGTTATGAAATTCTAAGTGGAAGGTATTTTCTATTGAAATTTTACCGACTCATTTTAAGATTCCATTGTTGAAGATAAGAAACTATTGATGAAAAATCTATTACTATTACGATTTCTAATCTTTTTATGTGACCTTTACCCAGGTAAAACGTTTAGTTCTTTCTGTCTGGTATTATGGAATTTCAGAGAGATGTGGGTTTTGTTTTAAATTGGGTGACTCACTGTGCAGGTTGCCCCTTCAGCTGGAGGCTGGTCTACAGCAGACCTAGAGAGGCATGCCTCTACTCTGCACGCATGGGGTCACCATAAGTAGAAATGGAATCCGTGGCACCTGGTTTACGTTGTTTGGTGTACAGAGACCTAGCACCTCAGCCACAGTGCTGCATGCTGGGTACCAGTGTGTTCCATGTACTTTCATTCTAGACACACAGGCTGAAGAGCTAGCAAGTACACAGTAGATTCCTACGTGCAAACCAAACCACAAACGTGCACTTCAGGCTTCAGCATCGCATTGCCAAACCACATACATGCATGTCAGACCTCAGCATCCCACTGCCAAGCAAGTTTTGCAGTCAAGAGCCAGAGTTAATTCCTCCTACCAGGAAAACCATTTCAAGAATGCAGATAAAAAGTCCTGTTCACGAGTCAACAGTTGGGAGCAGTGATTGACTTTGCCTCAGGAAATTAAAATCAAAGTCAAGGAAATGTCCCAGAAGAGAGATGAACAAAATGGCCCGTTCTGGGGCCCTACAGCCTACCTAATGTAAGTCCCAGAAAGGGAAAAGAAAGAAGAAATTCCTCCCCCACCTTCCATAGAGGTTGGAGGGGGACAGTTTAACATGAGAGGATGTTGTTGTTGTTGTTGTTATGTGCCGTCAAGTCGGTTCTGACCCATAGTGACCCTGTACAGTGTTTCCAAGGCTGTAACTCTTTACAGGAGCAGAAAGCCTCATCTTTCTCCCGTGGAACAGGTGGTAGTTTCGAACTGCTGACCTTGCAGTTTGCTGCCCAATTCAAACCACTACGCTACCAGAGCTCCTTAGAAGGTGGGAGGATACAACTGCTCAAATAATGGGAAAAGATTTATATCCAGATGGGGCATCATGAACTTTCAGAACATCAAGAACAAGGGAAGATCCTAAAACTTTCCAGATAGAGTGCGGGAGGCAGAGGGCACTTACAGAGGAATGCACTTACAAATGGCATCTCCTTCTGAAGGAAATCCACAATTTCAAGCCTGTTTGTGATTCCCATCCTTTGTGGAGTTTGTATTTCTTGTTATTTTGAGACATGAACTTTGAAGATCTATAATAGTGATTCCTTCATACCATATATTTGAATCCATGTATGTTTGGCCCATAAAAGTGCTTATGAGCACTTCATAGTTACAGTAATTAGAGAAGCAAAGGAATGCTTTAAAAAGTAAAATTTCCCTAGATGATACAGAAAGCTACTGAAGAACCAACTGAGACACATGACAAACTGCATCATCCAAAGGTAGGATCTGCTTGGAATAGATCTTCATTTGGAGTCAGTAAAAGACACAAATACACAAACACTTTTTAAAGGGGTAAGTACAGTACCAAGGTAGCCTTAATATGAAAAAGTTAGCCACTATATGCCATCTATTTGTATTTTTATATACACGTGTGTACATACATACATATATATTTTTTTGTTTTTCAGTTCGCTGAAAACGGAGGCTAATTTAGAAGTTTTGAAGTCAATACCTAGTGAAAAATTAATGATTGAGACTGGTAAGTTTTAATTTGTATTAAGAATTTAATCTTTATTAGAATTTGCATTGAATTGTTATTTGTTGTTGTTAGGTGCCATCAAGTCGGTACCAACTCATAGCGACCCCATGCATAACAGAATGAAACACTGCCCAGTCTTGGACCAACCTCACAGTTGTTGCCACGTTTGAGACCATTGATGCTGCCACTTTGCCAATCCATCTCACTGAGGGTCTTCCTCTTTTTCTCTGCCCCTCCACCTTACCGAACATGATATTCTTCTCCAGCGACTAGTCTCCTCTGACAATATATCTGAAGTATGAGAAACGAAGTTTGGCCATGCGGGTCTCTAAGGAGCAGAGACTCTGGCTGCACTTCTTCCAACACAGTTGGTTCTTTGGGCAGCCCATGGCACTTTTAATATTCTCCTCCAACAACATAACTCGGAAGCATCAGTACTTCTACGATCTTCCTTATTCACTGTCCAGCTTTTGCATGCATATGAGGTTATTGAAAATACCATGGCTTGGATCAGGCGCACCTTAGTCCTCAAGCTGACAGCTTTGCTCTTCAACACTTTAAGAGGTCTTGTGCAGCAGATTTGCCCAGTGCAATATGTCATTTAATTTCTTGACTGCTGCTTCCCTAAGTGCTGATGGTTGTTCCAAGAACAATGAAGTCCTCAACAACTTTAGTCTTCTCCGCTGATAAGAACGTTGTTTATTGATCCAGTGATGAGGCTTTTTGGTTTTTTTACATTGAGATGCAATCCATACTGAAGGCTGTGCTCTTTGATCTTTATCAGTAAGTATTTTAAGTCCTCTTCACTTTCAGCAGGCAAGGTTGTATCATCTGTATATTGCAGGTTGTTAAATGAGTCTTCCTCCAATCCTGATGCCACGTTTTTTACCATATAACCCAGCTTCTCAGACTATTTGCTCAGAATACAGGTTGCATAAGTATGGTGAAAGAATACAACCCTGTCGCACACCTTTCCTAATTTTAAACCATTCAGTTTTACCATGTTCTGTTCAAACAACTGCTTCTTGGTCCATGTACAGACTCCTCATGAGCACAGGTAAGTCTTCCGGAATGCTCAGACTTGACAGTGTTGTCCATAACTTGTCATGATACACACAATCGAAAGCCTTTGCGTAGTCAGTAAAGTACAGGTAAACAAACATCTTTCTGATATTCTCTGCTTTCAGCCAAGATCCATCAGACATCAGCAATAATATCCCTTGTTCCACATCCTCTCCTGAATCCAGCTTGAACCTCTGGAAGTTTTCTCAATGTATGTTTGCAGCCATTTCTGTATTACCTTTAGTAAAACTTTACTCACATGGGATACCAAAGATATTGTCTGATGATTTCCTCATTCCGTTGGGTCACCTCTCTGTAATGGGCACAAATACCGATCCCTTCCAATCAGTTGGCCAGATAGTTATCTTCCTCATATCTTCCATTTGCTTTAGCATCTCTATGCTGGAGAGCAAGTTCCATTGTCTCTTCTGACATTTATTTTGATCTTTTTCTTCTTTCTTGTCTTAATGACTTTTTGCTTCCTTCGTGTGTGTTGTCCTTGATGTCATCCCACAACTTTTCTGGTCTTCGGTCTTTAGAGTTTAATGTATCAAAACTGTTCTCGAGATGATCTCTGAATTCAGGTGGGATATATTCAAGGTCATATTTTGGCTCTCATGGACTTGTTTTCATTTTCTTCAGTTTCACTCTGATTTTGCATATGAGCAATTGATGATCTGTTCCACAGTCTGCCTTGGCCTTGTTTTAACCAATGATATGGAGCTTTTCCATTGTCTCTTTCCTCAGATTTAGTCAATTTGATTTCTGTGTCTTCTATCTGGTGAGGTCCATGTGTATAATCTTCTCTTATGCTGCCTAAAGACTGTATTTGAAATGAACAAATCATTGGTTTTTCAGAATTCTATCATGCATTCTCCAGCATTATTTCTATCACCAAGGCCATATTTTCCAGCTACTGATCCTTCTTCTTTGCTCCCAACCTTTGCATTTCAATCACCAGTAAGGAGCACTATATCTTGATTGCATGTTTGATCAATTTCAGATTGAAAAAGTTGGTAGAATTTTTATGTTTCATCCTCACTGGCTTCAGTCGTTGGTGTGTAAATTTGAATAATAGTGGTATTAATTGGTCTTCCCTGTAGGTGCATGGATATTATCCTATCACAGACAGTGTTGTACCTCATGACTGATCTGGGTATGTTCTTTTTGACAGTGAATGCAACACCATTCATTCCTCTTCAGTTTGTCATTCCCGGCATAGTAAACCATGTGGTTGTCAGATTCAAAATGGCCAATACCAGTCCATTTCAGTTCACTATTGCCTAAGATATCGATGTTTGTACGTCCCATTTAATTTTTTACAATTTCCAATTTTCCTAGATTCATACTTCGTACATTCCATGTTCCGATCATTAATGGATGTTTACAGCTGTTTCTCTTCATTTTGAGTTGTGCCCCATCAGCAAATGAAGTTCCCATGGGCTTTTTACTCCCACAGGCTTTCCTCCATTCGCATCATTACAGTCAGCTCTACTTTGAGGAGGCAGCTCTTCCCCAGTCACATTTTGAGTGCCTTACAACCTGAGGCGCTCATTTTCCGGCACTGTATCTGACAGTGTTTCTCTGCTATACATAAGGTTTTCAGTGACTAACGATTCGGAAATAGTTCATCACTCTTTCTTCCTAGTCTGTCTTGTCTGGAAGCTCATCTGAAACCTGTCCACCATGGGTGACCCTGCTGGTATTTAAAATACCGGTGGCATAGCTTTCAGAATTACAGCAATTCACAAGCCACCCCAGTATGACAAACTGACAGAAGAGTACATGACAAAATAAAAGCTAATGAAAAATGTGACTTCAAGTTTACTGTTAATAGTCAGTAAACAGCCTGTTCAACTTCAACAGTTATACTTTTCAGAAAGTTTAGGGACTGTTAGCAATAAATGGAAAAATACTTATGCAAGTGTTTGTTTTTGTTTTTTTAATTTAAAAGTTTAACTAAGATTAAGCACTTTAGAATGAGAATAATATAGTTACAGAACTTCCAAATGAGGGACTCAAGTAGTTTTCAAGGGAAAAAAATCTAAGTCTAAAACCTGAACCAAGCCCTACGCCTACCTTCACATTAACCCTGGCCCTATAACCTGGCGCTTCATCATAAAACCCTTGCTGTTAAGTTGTTGAGTGCCATCAAATCAGTTCTGTATAGGGTTTCTGAGGAGCAGCTGGTGAGTTTGAACCACTGGCCTTGCAGTTCAGACCAACTTTGCAGTCCAGTGCGTTAACCCACAGTACCACATCAGGACTCACAAATTCCTAGCCCTAGTCCAAATCCTAATTCCTTACTCCTCCCCCGCCCCACCCCCTAAAAAGTCAATGAATATATGGTAACTAAGAAGTTACATTGTTGTTGTTGTTAAGTGCCTTGGAGTCTCGGTACTGACTCAGCAATAGTGTATAGGGTTTCCAAGGAACATCTGGTGAGCTTGAACCACTGGCCTTGATTCAAACCAACTTTGCAGTCCTGTGCATTAACCCACAGTACCACACCAGGACTCAGTGGTGCATTGAGTGTTGCTATGGATGCTGGAACAGGTTTCAGTGACGCTCCAGACTAAGATGAACTAGTAAGAAAAGTTGGCAGACTGCTGCTAAATATCAGTCAGTGGCATCCCTGTGGATCACAAGGTCTGATCTGCAGTGGACCCTGGGACAGCTGTGGGCTCAGGCAGCCTGTGTTCCATTGAGTGTACGCTCACTGTGAGTTGGAGGCCAACCGTAGCAGCTAACAATTCTATAAGATTCATCTGTAAAATAAAGTACGGATTGAAGCGAAAAAGTATTATCTAAATCCTGGAACTCCAGGTTTCCTTACCATCTCATGAACTCTAGTAAACTAAACCATTAGGGAAAACTCCAGTTACTTTCTTAGTAGTCATAAAAATGAAAATTGGGGGGAGCTTCGTAGTAGGTGACAAATAGTGATACAGGGAAGAAGGGGGGAGCATGTCCCTTTTTGGGACGTGGAAGTTCTACACTGGGAACCCTCCTAGATCTCTTTTGCTCTCTTCATCTATAACCTTTTCAATGTAATAAGTATATGGAAAATATTTAAATGTGTTTATTAAAAGAATGCTTGTAAAATATTTTAAGGTATTATTAACTAGGTCCCTTAATTAATAGATGGGTAACCCCAGTATTCACAGCCACTGTTTTACATTCGGATTCCTGGTATGGTGCTGTGGGTTAATGTGCTAGATTGCAAAGTTAGTTTGAACCTCAAGATTGGTGGTTCAAGCTCACCAGTTGCTCCTAGGAAACCCTATACAGGGTTGTTATGGGTCGGAACTGACTCAATGGCACTTAACATTTTACATTTAGTAGAGGCAGTATAGAAATTTAACATAAATGTTTTCATGTTACACTTGTATTTATTTTAGGTTTAGTGTTGTTTTTTAAGCATGTCATAGTCCAATAATGTGGTGGGGTAAGAGGGGAAGAGTGAATCCCATAAAACACCTAAATTTGTGTACACTTAAAGGTTTTTGTGTTAACAACTGTTTTGGTTTAATGTTGCCATTAATTTTGCCCTGTTTGAAGCTGGGTGATGGTGGTGGTGTGCCACAGTGCTGATTCCCACTCATGTGACCCTATGTGGGGTTTCCAAGGCTGTAAATCTTTACAGGAGCATCTTCCTCCCTCAGAGTGACTAGTGGATTGGACTAGTCACTCTGAATACTAACCTCGTAACTAGCAGCCCAACTCGTAATCCACTATGCTTCCAGGGCTCCTTTTGAAGATGAATTGTTGTTAAGTACCATGGAGTCACTTCCGACTCATAGTGACCCTGTACAGGGTTTCCGAGGCTGTAACTCTTTGTGGGAGCAGAAAGCCTCATCTTTCTCCCGCGGAACAGCTGGTAGTTTCGAACTGGTGACCTAGCAGTTGGCAGCCTGACTCATAACCACTATGCTACCAGAGCTCCTTTATTTCAGGCTATTTGAAATGTTCATTAAAAAAAGTCATTGACAGTCAACAAACTTTGAAAAGCCACTTCTGTTTGCATAATTCTAGATGCACCTTGGTGTGGAGTCAAGAGCACACACGCAGGATCTAAATACATCCACACTTCATTTCCTACCAAGAAGAAGTGGGAACACGGGCACTGCTTGAAAGACAGAAACGAACCTTGCCATATAATGTAAGTACTCTGCTCTCATGGTCTTCTGAAACACTAGGAAACACTCAAATCAACCACCAAATGCCACTGAGAAAATGGATGGAAAGGACAGAATTGGTAGAGGATTGAAGGTCTGTGAAATTGAAATGTTCAGGTCAGAGAGACCACCTTCTGAAGGCAGTGATGGGAAAGGACTTGCACCTGAATTGCTCTAGCATTCTGCAGGTCCTCTTGACAGAGAAAACTCATGCGATTTTGGTCGTTTATCATTTTGTTGGCGATAGAAAAATTCTTAAAGCTCTCCACATCATCACTTTCCCTGATTGAAGCCCTGTGCCTTCCTTGCTGATGTTTATAAAACCTCAGCCTTAATGGGAGGCCTCTGTGTGAACGGTATCTGTAATTTCATTTAGAATTTTTTGTTTGACGAACTTAAGAACACCTCTTTCTTGAAACTTCTGCGCAAGAGTATGAGTGATACGAGGAGTTCCTTGTCCCCACATCAGGATAAGGGAGAACCTGCTAGAAATTCCATCTCTATGAATCTGTGTGTAATGATAACACATGGCACATGTGCCAAGAGGGCCTGCTGCCCATCTGGCAGGAGCAGATAAGAATAAGTCTGCAGCCAGGAGAGGTTGGTAGTATTATCTCAGCAGGCACATCATCCCATTTCTATTTACATAAAGCAGATCATTTCAACTGAGACTCAGTTCTAGTATGGTTTACTGTAAATTCAGATAATTGGGCATATTTATAGCAATTACAAAAGTTAGTATGGAATTAAGACTGGAATGTTATTCTGAGTCAGTTTTGACCCTGTACAGGGTTTTCCAAGGATCAGCTGGTGGGTTTGAACCACCTACCTTGTGGCTAGTTCTTGTTGCTGTTAAGTACCAGGAATTGGTTCCGACCCATAGAGACCATGCACAGGGTTTCCGAGGCTGCACATCTTTACGGGACCAGAATGCCTCATCTTTCCCCCACAAACAGCTGGTGGTTTCACACTGCCGACCCTAAGGTTAGCAGACCGATTCGTAAGCACTACGCTACCAGAGTAGTCTAGTGCTTATCCTACAGCGCCACACCAGGACTCGAAGACTGGAATTGCTTCTTCTATAGTTACCATCTTTTTAAAGTAAGTTTAAACTAGACCTAAAATTCAGCCAAGGAGCTCTGGTAGCGTAGTGGTTACGAATCGGGTTGCGAACTGCAAGGTCAGCAGTTAGTTCGAAACTACCAGCTGTTAAGCGGGAGAAAGATGAGGCTTTCTGCTCCCGTAAAGATTTACAGCCTCAGAAACCCTGTATGGGGTCGCTGAGTTGGAACTGACTCCGTGGCACATAACAACAAAAAAATTCAGCAGGCAGAATAGTGGAGGATTATTTTTTACAAGTATTTTGAAAGATTCTCTTCCTTTATTAAGTTGGTGCTGGCAAAGAATGAATGCTTTAAAACTCATAGGTGAATAAGTATTTTTAAATTCTGAATGCTTCTTTGGAGACAAGAAATGGGTATTTTGCCAGCAGTCAGCTGGTAGTTGCCAACAGTTTACTGTCAGTTTTGAAACTGCCTCAGTCTTAAGTAAAATAATTACTCATTGACTTGAGCTATCTATTTTTAAGACCAATGTCAATGTGTTTTTAAATATAGACTATTAGGAATGATAAAGGTTTGAGTATATGCTGTCATCTCGAATTACCAGCTCTTTAACAGAGGTGGCACATGGGAAAATAAGCAAACTGACATTTTAACCATATTTCAAAAGCACGCACGTGCCTCTAGTCTAGTGGTGATTAATTAAGTAGCAAGTTCATTCCTATTTTACCAATCATTTTTATCAGCCTCCATCCCAGTAACAGCACGACGTTCTGTGTGTAGAGGTCTTTTAGATAATTCCCAGAAATGTTTTGGAGCACCTGCCATACCAGGAAAAGTACACATTACTAAGGCTACAGAGGAATGAGGTAGTCCCTGGCCTCACAGCAGACTCCGGAGCAGTGGTGGTGGTTAGGTGCCGTCTAGTGGGTTCCGGAGCCGAGAAGTAGCTAAACGATGGTCCAGGACAGTGCTGCTGCTGCTGCTCAGGTCTGAGGACACCAGCGCTTTCCTGAGGTGACATTTCTCCAGTTCTCTAAGGCCAGCCAAAGGTCCTCTTGAACAAAGTGGACTCCAGAGGGCCTGGCTGATCCAGGGGCACAATGAGCTCAGTGTGACAAAGTAGGCTGCAGGCAGTAAGTGGAGGAAGGTGTCTGGGAAGGCCGAGTGAGGCCGCCTCACAATCAGGCAGCTTTAGTCTAGATCTTATCAGGACTCAGAGGATTTTAAGCAGGGATGTAGCAGTGGGGGCTTTGTTTTGTAAGTTGTAGCTGGCATCAGTATGGATGGAGGGCTGGAATGGGGAGAGATGGGTGCCAGGAATCAAAAGGGGACTTCAGAAAGTTCATGGAAAAATGCTATCATCTCCCCACATTCAATTTTTCCACACATTTTCTTCATACATCTTGCAGTCTGATGCATGTAGTAACACCTGAATCAGATTATTGTTTGCATGACTTTTAAAACCTGTGCCTAGTATAAAAATGCCACGTTGAACAAAATAAGCCATTCAGTTCTCAGGGACAGTAAACTTCATGTTATTTCCTAGAGCAGCTACAGCTTCTTAGGCCACTTGAGTGTACATCGTGTGAGTGTAAAAGGCTGTCCTAGCTACTACGCTGCCAGAGACTTACAGCACGGGATGCCACCAGCAACACGACTTCTGAGTTCAATCCCCACGAGTTCTGACAGGGTGATTCGGCAGCTTGCGAGAACTGGACTGTTTCCTCACTTAAATGTTTAACAGATTTGCTTTAAGCGTGACTGTTAACAAAAATTTAGTAGTCAGTTCATTTATTATCTTAAGTAAGCTTTAGTGCCAATTATAGAACCAAGGAGCCTTGGTGGCATAGTGGTTAAGTGCTCAGCTGCTCACCAGAAAGTTGGCAGTTCAAACCCACTAGCCACTCCTCTGAAGACCACAACATTCTGCTGTTCAAACTGAGGCCATTCTGCTCTGATCTGTTGCTACCAATTGGAATCAACTCACTGGCAACAGGTTTTGGGTTTGGAATTACAGAACAAGAAAAACTCCAGTTGATCTTAGGTCTCCTCTTATTCCTTTAGGAGTTCATATTCAGGATACCCATTAAAGGAACAAAAAACCTAATGACTAACCATATGTAAATGTTTAATTCTGACTTTAGAAATTTCTAACTCATGTATAACGAATATTTACCTGCACATAGAGCCCTGGTATAGTTTATTACATGTTGGGCTTCTAACAGCAATAACAGCGGTTTGAGTCCACCAGTCCTCCATGGAAGAAAGATGAGGCTTTCTGCTCCTTTCTGCTCTTGTGAGGACTTACAGCTTTCCTACACAGGGTCAGAACTGACTCAACAGCACACAGCAGTACATAATATTACTGCCATTGTTCAGCAGAGAAACTGAACCATGGGCCCTTTGGTTGTGCAGGGGAAACCTTGTGGGATCCCGGCTCACTCATGGCCGGGCACTCCTCACCACACCATACCTTAGTCTGAAAGTGCGTCTGTTGTGATCATAGTGCTAGTGATCATACAGCCATTTTCCTGGACTGTTAACTATAGGTCGGCAGTTCAAACCTATCCGCTGCTCCTTGGAACACCTATATAGGGGTCGCTATGAGTAGGAGCCAACTAGACTGCACTTAACAACATAATGGAGTCCTAGTGTGGCACTGTAGGATAAGCAATTAGACTGCTAACCTTAAGGTTGGTGGTTCAAACCCACCAGCCCCTCTATGGAAACTATACAGGGTCGCTGTGATTTCAAAGGAGCCCCGAGAGCATGAGGTTGATAACTATAAAGTCAGTGGTTCAAAAAAAAAAAAAAAAAAACTACCAGCTGCTCTGTGGGAGAAAAATGAGACTGTTCTCATAAAGATTTACAGCCTGGGAAACCAGAGGAGCAATTCTACTCAAACCTATAGGATCGCTATGAGTTGGCAGTACATGTTATTACATGCCTTCAAGTCAGTGCCAACTTATAATAACCCTGTATAGTTTCCAGGGAGCAGCTGGTGAGTTTGAACCACCAACCTTAGAACCAGGACTCTACATACATACACATACACACATACATATAAAAATAAAAGTGTCTCCCTTTTGCTTTTATAATGTTGACAATGATTGTGTTAAGAAGCCGTTTAAAAGGACTCATTTCCATTGGGGGAGCTCATCATTGGGCTGCATGATTTAGAGGGCTGCTTTGTAACTGATGTGAAGTTAACTAGGACTCCTGCTGTGGTGCTGGAGGATCAGCACTAGACTGCAAGCCACAAGATTGGCAGTTCAAGCCCACCAGCTGCTCCTTGGAAACCCTCTACAGGGTTGCTATGAGTCGGAGCCAACTCAACGGCACTTAACAACAAAGTAAACTTTAATGTTCTTGCTGAAATTTTTAATTAAGCTTTGACTTGCTGTGCTAAAGGTGTCCGTACATGCTCTTTCCATGGACGGTGATGACTACAGACCTTGGAGAGTACGGGGAGCTGACTGTCTATTTTTGTCTGTTGTAGTCAAATACTGGAGATCATGGCAGCAGTGAGGGATGAAGACCCATTGGAGTTAGCCAATACCCTGTATAACAACACCATTAAAGTCTTTTTCGCTGGTATGTAATTGGTATGTCTTCTGCTTTCCATCATGTATGTAACATTTTATGGTAAACCTTACTGAAAGCGTCAATAAAGGACTTATCTGGAAGCAGTGTAAAAGAGGTATTGTATATCACCATACACCATTCTTCTCATTTATTTCCGTAGGTCAGATCAAGATTTTTCGTATCACTAAAGCCCTATTTATTTAAAACAGTGAAAATCCTCTATTTTCATTTTTGTAATCTCATCCACAGTATGAAAGGACAATTTTACGTCAACACTGCAAATACAGAATGACCAGCAAATATACAGCTTTACAGCAAGCACATTCTGGTTCTTACTGAAGTTTAGTTGATACAAGCGTATTCTTCAACTCTGACTCAGCCTCTGAACTTCAGACTCAGCACAACTACACTGCTACTCTCAGATTTCTCGGACCAGTTTTCCCTCTTGGTTTTAAAACACCATGGATAGTCTTTATCCTCTGGTTCAAATGCTTTCATTTCCTTGACTTGTGTTTTACTCTGACTGTTTTTTCATTCTTTCACTCATTTTAAAGAAAAACTAGGGTCCACAGTTATAGACATCATATGACTTCATTGAAGAAATCTTTGGCACAGGTGACGCACCGTATACTATTACATCTATTAAAAAGCTGTTTGTTCACATTTTGTCATAAAAACATGTGAAAACATTTTATTCTATGTACAATAATGTACACAAATTTAAATAGGTCACCAAAGAGACCAGAAGTAATTAAAGAGGTATATTTACAATAGCACATCACAGTAAACGGAAAACCATTCACAGATTCAACATGGATACTGTTTTTGTGCTTGGTTACACACTGAAGTGAAGCATATTATTCCATTTTGGAGGAACTGAATTTTAAACAAATACCTCAATGATTAGGAAATGCTATTTTAATCAGTATCATCATCAATAAATTCTCCCGCCACCGGGCCTGTGTGCCGGATCTCGCCATTTCTTGCTCTTTGAACGTCGTCATCATTGTCGTCGCAGTCTGTACTGTCGTCATCATCCTGTTCCCTGTCCGAGTCAGCAGCAGCTTCTAGTATAGCTCCCTCGGGATTTTCATTGGGTGCAATAAAGCCGTTGTTGTTAGATGTATTTGAGCTATCCTTGATGTCATCTTCAGTGTACACTTTCTGATGGCACATTGGACAAGTGTCTTGAATGTACAGCCATTTCCGAAGGCAAAGTGCATGGAAGTAATGGTTACACGGTGTGATGCGAGCAGATGTGGTAAACTCATGATAGCAGATTGCACATACATCATCGATTTCTTGTAAGCGGCTCCCTTTGATTTCAGGAAGTGAATTAATTTTCTTAACAGCGGTCCTACGATTCATAAATGTCTTCCACCCATTTTTTGCTTGTAAATAGATGTTAAAATATGCATGTAGGCACATCATACAAGCCCGAATTTTACTTCCTGACTCAAACATCATAGTATAAGCCCCATTTCCAAACATTACTACTCCAAATATAAACTCAATAATGTTGCCTGTTGAACGAACATAGTAGACATAATCATCAAGCTTTTCCCAGAGGACATTATAGTAGCCGTCAATCATGAACAACGTGTAAACAGTGAGGGAAACAATGACTTTTAAGCATAGTTCCACACAAAAGGCTGTAACTGCAAACAACCAAGTATTTAGTGCATAGTGATGCCAAAGAACGTAACTGAGTAAAACAGGAAGAACAAACAGGCAAGCAGAGACAAACAGCACAGGAAAATGTCTACGAAATGATGACACGTGAGAGGCACTGAGCGACATTAACACGGGGTCTGTCATCCCATGGATGAAATGCAGGACTGCAGTTAATAGAAGGCACATGTTTCTACTTAAGCGAATGAGTCTCTCTTCTGGCCGGAGCCCACTCAAACCAGTCTGGAGGGCCAAAATAAAAAACAAGACAGGTGCTACAAAGCCAAGACGCCTGTCGTCCTCTTCAGTTGATCCAATGAAGGCCAGTATTCCAAGTCCCAAATAATGGGCTACGGAGGAGATTACGGCACTCATGCCTAGAACAGTTAGTGTCGAATCGCATCCACTAATGATCAGATTGCAAATGAGCTCCCAGAAATCATCCCAGGAAATGAAGATGGACCCAGTGTCATTGGCCATCCTTAAAATGTATGTCAACACTGTTGCCTGAGCTGTAATTCTCGTTAGCCAAAAAACTCTAAGTATATCTGGGAAACGAATCCTCTTCCACGTGTCCTCCATCAGTAATTGTAATCCATAAATTCGATACATGTGCCTCACTAAAAGATAGACATACCGTGCGGAATAATAAAACCACTTAAGTTTAACTGCCAACACAAGCACTGTATTTAATGTGAGAATCAAAGAAGAAATAAAAACTAACATCTCTCGGATGTGGACTGGGAGCTCTGTGATTAAGCCTATTACAGGAACCAAGAGATCCAAAATGATTAACTGTGAATAGACGGAATGAATTTGGAGTAACGTTATGTATCCAATTCCAAATGTTAGCTGTAGAACGATCAGTGCCATCCATAGCGAAGGGCCTTTTCGAGGAAGCAGGTCAATTCCAAAAGCTGATGTGTTGTAGGCACTATGGAAGTCAATGTGCAAAGAAGCATAGTAATTCACCAATACTGAAGTTGCAGCTAGTAGAAAGGCTGAGCTGTACGTGTAAAACTTGAAAAGTGATCGCTGTGACAAGATGAGAACAATACTGGATACAAACATCCCTAAGAAGAGAGAAAAGACAAAAAGTCATTGAAGTGAAACATTCCAAAGAAGGTTTTCCCACTAGTCAAAATATTCTTCACTTAACAACTTCAGTTCTGAACCCTAACACAGTTGACGCTCAAGATAATTATGCCTAAAGATAGACCAAGCGTATTATTATTTGCCCTTTTGATCTTGAGTAGTTGACCATTCTATGGTGTGCATACCTCACTTGTGTTGTTGCCCCCACCCCTCCCTCATATACCCATTTATTGCTTGGCTGGAAACTGAGTCACAGAGGTGAATAAAAACCCGAAGCGTGACCAAGGGCCACTGTCTTGAGGTTCCACCAATCTGTCTAACCAGTAAGCCTGGTATTTTTTATGATTTTGTTCAACATTTTCTCCCATTCTATGCAGGGCCTTCTAATGTGATCCCTTTCAGAGCAGTTGGGGGTGGTGGCTATCAGCATCTAGTTCTGATTTCCGGGGTGTGTAGACTGATTTACGGGGTTTATTAGTTAGTCCTTTGAAAATGATACATTTTTTTAAAAAGTTAAAACTTCTTGAAACAACAGATTTTAAAGAATTTCATAATCATTATTCCATCAGCAAAAACTGAAGAATTTTAAAGAACCAAAATAAAAAACATTTGTTCTTACAAAAACTTGTTATGAGTATATTTAAATTCTTTTTTTTTTTTTTAAAGTCTTTAGGAAATCAAGTTCTCTACTCCTTCCTCTCTTCACACTATGAATTCACGCCAGTGCTTATCTTTTCCTGCTCAGAAAATTCACAAGGGTCCAAATTCACTCTTTCTTCCTCCACATACTTACCTTCAAGTTGCAGATACAGCCCCTAACTTCCTTTTTCCCTGTTTAATTATTGAGTCTTTTTCTTCATATCAGTGTTGTTGTTAAGTGCTGTCTAGTTGGTTCTGACTCATAGGGTTTCTGAGGAGAGGCTGATGAGTTTGAACCGCTGACCTTGCTGCTTATTCTACAATGCTACAAACAGGACACCTTCCCTCATAAAGTCAACTTTTTATTGTTATTCAAATTATAAAAGTAAATTTAAAAAATCAAACCATATGTATTTTTTAATGACAATGAATCTCCCTCCTCCAAAATCCCATAGTTAAACAATGTAAATGGTCTCATGGGTGCTGTCTCCACCATCTGTCTTTGTACTTAAAAAAATACTTTTTTTTTTAAAGGAGATGACAATAAATATATCATTACTCAAGGTTTCAGCTATGGGAACGACTGCCAAATAACTCTAGTTCTAAAACTGCAAAATTCAAAATTTATAAAACCTAACTGGCCTTCCACTAAAACCTACTTTCTTCCTTGTGATTTCCATTTTAATTAAAGATCTTTTTCTCAATACTATCCCTTACCCTAAAGCCTCAAACATTGACAATTCATTGTCAAGTTCTACTGACACCTACCTTTGCCCTTTCTCAGTGACAACAACCTCTAAAAACTCATCTAAATCCATCTGTAAGTCATAACCAAGTAACCTCTTTTTCACTGCTCTTCTCAAAATACTTATATGGCTCAAATTACTATCATGCCTCGTGAGGACAATGAAGTGTTTTGTCATTTCCATTCTTTGCAATGTTATCTCTACACACAGTTGGATACCTTTGTATATTCAATAAAATACAGGTAAACACTGTTCTGGTATTTTCTGCTTTCAGCCAAGATCCATATAACATCAGCAATTCCACATCTTCTGAATCTGGCTTGGATGTCTGGCTGTTCACTGGCCATGTGATGCTATGACAGTTTTTATAAATGTGGGTCTCTTTCTTCTAGTCAGTTGGCCAGGTCTTTCAAATTTCTTGGCATGTATGAGTAAGTACTTCTAGCATTGCATCTGTTTGGTCAAACATTTCACAGAAAGTATTTCATGGATTTCTGAAGCCTTGTTTTTCACCACTGCCTTCACTGCAGCTTGGACTTCTTCCTTCGATATCATTGGTTCTTAATCATATGAACTACCTCTTGAAATGATTAAACATCGACCTGTTCTTTTTGGTACAGTGGCTCTAGGTATTCCATCTTTTGATGCTTCCTTCATGGTTCAATATTTTGCTCATACAATCCTTCAATATTACAAGAGACTTGATTTTTTTTTTTCTTCAGCTCTTTCAATCTGAGAAATGCTGGGCACATTCTTCCCTTTTGGTTTTCTAATTCTAGGTCTTTGTACATTTCATTATACTTCTCAAGCTGTCCTCTGAAAATTTCTCTCCATCTTTTCATCATTTTCCCCATTCACTCTAGCTTCTCTGTGCTCAAGTGCCTCTTCGGAGTCTGTTCTGATATCCATTTTCATCTTCTCGTCCTTTCCTGTCTTTTTAAGAGCCTTTTGCTTTCTTCATGTTTGATGTCCTTGACATCATCCCACTAGCTGTCTGGTTTTCGATCATTAGTGTCCAAAGTGTCAAATCTATTTCTGAGACGCTCTAAAATTCAGGTGGGATATATTTTGGCTCTTGTGGATTTCGTTTTCTTAAGCTTCAACTTGAATTTACATATGAGTAACTGAGAATCTATACTAAAATCAGTCCCTAACCTTGTTCTGACTGATGATACGAAGCTGCTCCAAGGCCTCTATCCACACCTATAGTCAATTTGATTCCTATGGTTCCATCTGGTGAGATCACCAGTTACGTTGAAAGGAGCTTTGGTAGCATAGTGGTTACGAGTAGGGCTGCTAACCTCAATGTCAGCAGTTCAAAACTACCAGCAATCCTGCAGCAGAAGGATGAGGGTTTCTGCTCCCATAAAGATTTACAGCCTCGGAAACCCTATGCAGGATCGCTATGAGTCAGAATCGACTCCACGGCTCACCACCACTATGCTGAAAATGTGTTATATCCAATGAATGATTTCCTGGTGTGGTGCTATAAGATAAGCATTGAACAGCAAGATCGGTTTGAACTGCAAGGTTGGTGGCTCAAACCCACCAGCGGCTCCTTAGAAAAACCCTATGCAGGGTTTGCTATGAGTCTGAACTGACAACAGCATTTAACAACATCCAATGAATAGGTCTTTGGTCTCGTAAAATTCTATCATGCGATCTCCAGTCCAGTTTTGTTTCTATCACCAATGTCACATTCCAATTTTTACCATTCACTCACCAGTAATGACAATGCATATCTTAGTACATGAGCATTTGCTCTATTATAGAATGTCCCTTTGATCTCAACCAAGGCCCTGTCATATACATATTGTTGTTGTTATATGCCATCCAGTCAGCTCCAACTCATTGTGACCCTATGCACAACAGAATGAAACACTGCCCAGTCCTGGGCCAACCCTCTGATTGCCGCTAACCTTTAAGCCTATTGTTGCTGGCACTGTGTCGATCCATCCTGTTTGGAGGGGGCAGTGCCTTTCTCTTTTTCACGGACCATCTTACCAAGCATGATATCCTTCTCCAGGATTGTGCCCTCCTGAAAACATGTCCAAAGTATGAGAGACAAAGTCGCACCCTTCTTTTGTACACGTGGTGGTTATGTGCCGTGGAGTTGGTTCCAACTCATAGTGACCCTGTACAGGGTTTCTGAGGCTGTAAATGTTTATGGGAGCAGAAAAGCCTCACCTTTCTCCCATGGAACAGCTGGTAGTTTTGAACTGTTGACCTTGCGGTTCACAGCCCAATTCATAACCACTACGCTAACCCAAAATATATTGTACAAAATAATACAATTAGTAATTGGTTGGGAAATATTTGTTCACATTCTAGATTATGTTAAAGGCAGTCAACAAATCCAGCTTGCTTAGAAAATGAAACCTATGATACCAAAGGGCAAAAATCAGATCCTGGAAGTACAGAAAAAGTGACAAATTCTATGATAAAATGAAATACTATCTATCCACATTTGCAGCATGTAATATTTTGATTACATCTCCACAAAATACACTTGGAGTATTTCACAAACTATTGCATGTAAAAGCAAGTGTTAGTTAGTTCCTTGGAATGATGACTCTGGCCACAGACTGAAGATGGCAAGTCACTTGTGGAAAGGAGAACACAAGGACAAACTCACCTGAAGGATACATCTGAGGGGGCTTCAAAAGTTGGTGAAAAAATTCCATTTCATTCAACTTTCTACAGACTTCTGAAGCTCCCTCATAAATCTCTGACTAAGAACCACCTGATCATCCAAGCAGGTAAGCCACTAATAACCTAATGAGTTAGAAGCCAGGAACAGGCGCTATCAATGAAAAAAAGACTTTTCAAGCAGGATTAAAACATTTTCCATGGAAGATGTCTTAAGGAAATGAGACTACTATGCCATACACAGGAGTCCTAGTGCGTCACTGTAAGATAGGCACTGGACTACTAACTACAAGGTTGATGGTTCAAACTCATGAGCTCTCCCTGTGAATCTTATACAGGGTCACTATGAGTTGGAACCAACTCAACAGCACTTAACAGCAAAAATGCCATACATAACCTTACTTTTTCTAAGTAGGAAAAAAAGGTATTATTTTCTGAGACAAAACTTAACACTAATCCTTATCACTCCATTCACAATAAAAACTTATTTTTTAAAAAAATCCATAAAATGATCCAAAACCAAACAAACTATATTTATAGTTTTATGCCATAGTATTATGCCAGTTATCGGGAGCATATCAAGCAGGAACTATTACTTATTTTTGTCAAGTTGCTAGTCACAAAATGGCAAACTAATCTTCACCAGTTATTCATTAAATAAACAGTTCAGTGCTCTACTACTAGCTGAAAGACTGCTGGTCAAGCCACCCAGCAGTGCCCTGGAAGAAAAGCCCGGCAATCTGCTTCCCAAAGGGCACAGACTTGAAAACCTTATGGATCACATTTTAGATAGCAAATCAAGTCTCAATAAATTTTAAAAGACTAAAACCATACAAAGTAGTTTCTCTGCCCACAATGGAGTGAAGCTAGATATAAAAGCTAGACACCTTGTAGGGTATACTCTGGTTGGTTGATGATGCATGGAGCGGATTGTAACCATGGCA